AAAAAATGCCAAATAATTTATCTTCAGATTGCTTGGTTTGTCTGACCAACATTCCTAAACCCAAACCTAAAGATATTTCATTTTTTAACAGAAATACAGCAAATATTCACATTGTTGAAGCTGGAACCTGTGTATAAGGGGCAAATTTGCTTAAAAAGTTTAATCAAAATTGTTGCTGATTCTTCTTCTTTTTTTTAAATTATTTTTTGTTCAGGGGCGGATTTAGACTTGATCTAGGCGGACTACAGTGGCCTAAGAAATGCCATGCCACCCCAGCTGCCAAATGCTGTCAAATTCAACATACAAGAGTCATGAAAATGAAAATCAACACATATAATTTAATGATCTGTTTCGGACACATTTCAAACTAAGTGATAGGCTTGTATTTGGAAATATGTCTGAAGATTTATGAAGGTAACTATTTATTGATTTCTAATGCCACTGTTAGATATTTCTATTCAATGCTTTTCTAATGGACCATAATAATGTAATGTTTTTGAGTTTAAAAATGTTTATTTGGTTTCTTTTCCAAGCAAATATTGATATATGTGATTGTTTGTGATTTAGTCAGCATGTATTTCTGTCACCCCTTAAAGTCATCATGCCGGGCGCCCGGTTAGCTCAGTGGGTAGAGCTGGCGACCCATGTACCAAGGCTGAGTCCTTGCTGCAGCGGCCCAGGCTTGCTGCGTGTCATCCCCTCTCTCTGCCCACCTTTCCTGTCTGTCTCCAGCTGTCACTATCCAATAAAGGCAATAAAAGCCCCAAAAAATATACTTTAAAAAAATATATATATATTTACTTTTGTTTGTATATAAACACTAGAGTGGAATAATATTCTGGTAAAGTGACTAAGGCTCTCTCTGTGTGCTTCNNTCAAATAAAGGCATAAAAGAAAAAAAGTCATCATGCCATCCTCTCGCCACCCCTTGACTTTTTCTCTACATCTACCCCTGAATATGTTAAAGACAAAATGCATTGATTAGTGGTGATACTGTTTGTAGACATTTATTAGAGAAGAAAAAAAACATTCCTCCAGTTTGTGTATCACCCTACATTAAAGGGGAACTTATATGACTTTACTTATCAGAGTCAGAGTACAACCACCACGTCCCCCAACTTTATGGAAATACAATGATACATTTCTGAAATGCCCCTTTAGTGACTCTGCGTTAATCACAGAACAATACAGAAGTGTACAAAGACTGAAGAAGTACCATACTCAGTTTTATTTGAATTGCCTGAATTGATTTCTTGAATTAATGCATTGCAATTATTTTTTT